TGGTTCATCAATGTTTGTGATTATTTTTTCTACGATTTATGTCGTTTTTTCTGAACAAAAAGAAAAAAAAATGCCTAGTCTCAATATTTGTTGAGGGTTTCTTATTGTTGAATTTTCTATCAAATAAATGTTTGTCATTGGTAAACAAATGATCTGTTGCTAACAAGCCTAATGATATTATTGAAATAATTAACAATTTGTCTATTTAATTTCATCGAAACAATTTCGATAATCTCACTTTATCGAAGTTGTAACTTCGATGAAATAATTTATAAAAGTTATAACTTCGATGAAATATGTTTATAGAAGTTGCAACTTCGATACGACCTACATATATATCATAGTTTATACTCATTGATGTAGTTGAGAAAATCTGTTTTAGTCTACGTCTAATTTACGATGAAATTGTTGAAAGTTCACTGTACTTTCGCCCATTGCCGAAAGTACATCGAACTTTCACCAATCGACAAAACTCCACGGAATTTATTGGTGAAAGAACAGTGGACTTTCTCCAATTGGCGAAATTCCACAGGGTGTATTGACGATAGTACAGTGCAGTTTCGTCAATGGCGAATGTTTTATTGGCGAAAGTCTTACTGGCGAAATTCCGGAGCCCCACATTTAGATCAAGATTCATTTTAACATCATTTTTTTATCGATTCGTCATTTTTTCTCGTTCAATTGTTTTTCTTTCGTTTCTTTCTCGTTCGACGTTTCTTTTCAATCTTTTTTTTCCTTCGACATTTTGTTTCTTTCGGCGTTTTCACCGCATACCAACGTTAAGCTTACTATAACTCTACACAGAGAATATACATGTGTTCATTTATAATAATGTATTTGATTTAGAAATTAAATGAGAACTTGAATAGTTCGTAATAATATCAGTTGAAGAAGTGATCGACATAATTGCATAAATTTACTTTCTGTAATCGTCTAACGTTGCATACGATAAATTCAAGTTTTTTATTAAAGTTTCGTTAAAACAATACTCATCAATTTCAAGATGTTAAATATCAAGCTTTCGATATTTATGTACTATTGGTAAAAACATTTCGGTAGTGCACATTGGTGAAGAGTATATACACAAGGTTTCATGACTAGAAACTCATTTTTGTAGTTCTAATAGTATAATTTCCCTAAAGGAGATAGATAATCTCTTTTGAAATTTTTCTTTGAGCAGTGTGTTATGCTTTTCAAAAGACGTCATTAAGACGAAAACTTCGCTTAAATTTTGTTTACAAAATCAGAATAGAAGAATTTTTACTTCAACATCATTTAACATATAAAAGTTATTTGATAAACAATGGATCGTACACTGTAAAACAAATTCGTAGAATAATAAACTCTAGCACGTTAGGAAAGTTTTTCTAAACCCTTAAAGGGTTTATGCTGGTGTATTAAACCCTTAAAGGGTTTTTGTGCGAAAGAATTTCTGAGAAAAAGGGTATTTTAAAATAAAAAGGGTTTATTGTTCTACCCTTTCATGAAAAGGGTTTATTATTCTACGGTCAAGAGTATATTGTTCTATCCTTTCATGAAAAGGGTCTTTCATTCCACGGTAAAGGGTTTATTGTTCTACTTTTTCATGAAAGGGGTTTATCATTCTACCGTAAAAGGGTTTATTGTTCTACTTTTCCATGAAAAGGGTTTATCAGTCTAGGGACAAGGGTTTATTGTTCAACCCTTTCATGAAAAGGGTTTATTCTTCTACTTTTCCATAAAAAGCGCTTATTTTTATTATATGGACAAGGGTTTATTGTTCTACCTTTCCATGAAAAGGGTTTATCATTCACTGCAAAAAAGGGGTATAATAATAAACCGTTTTTCACGATGCAAATTTTGATAAATTCTGCAAGAGTTTATCAAAGCAAGGATATATTGAAGAGAAAAATGCATCATGACTGGTAAAAAAAGGGTTTATTATACTGCACTGTAAAAAATAAACGTAGAATACTCAACCCTTGTACTTGTGGAAAATTTTCATAAACCACGGCAGAGTTAATGATGATGTCCTAAACACTGACAGGATTTATGATTCGAAGAGTATATGAGACTAAGGGGATTTCACAACACGCTAAAAAAAGAGTTTATTGTATACGAATTTCAGGACATGGATTTATTATTTATACGGTCAAGGAATTCTTTTTCTACCCTTGCACAAAAAGGGTTTATTATTTTTGTCAACAATAGGTAGACATAAAATTAAATATATTTGTTTATTCGGTTTAAATTTGAACGAACGACTTGTTGAACAAACAGTAAGTATAAAATCATAGAAACGAATTTTTTCATTTTACTTAGACATCGTCGAACAGCTTGTTCAACAATAAGTAGGTACAACATTTTAAAAAATTATTATTTTTTCTTTTATTTAGATATCGTTCAATGATTCGTTCAACAAAGGTACGTTTAAATTTTAAAACGAATTATTTTTTTTCTTTTATTTAGAGTTGATCGAGCAAGTTATCCAATAGTAACTATTTTTAAGATTCAATAAATTTATTTGTTCGTTTAGATTTGCGCCAACATTTCACTGATATGAAGACATGAATTTATGCCCATAGTAAGTTTTTCTTAATCCTTCAGAAGCGTATATTAGTTTCCGAAACCCTTGCATATACTCCTGAGAAGGGTTTAAGAAAGGGTTTCGGAAGATAATAAACCCTTTAAGAGTTTATGATTCTACGTTTTTTTACAGTGCATTTCCTAAATCCTTACAAGGGTTTATAAACATTTCCTAAACCCTTACAAGGGTTTATAAGTATTTCCCAAACCCTTTCCAAAACCTTTGCATGGGTATATGAGCATTTCATTAACCGTTACAAGGGTTTATAAACACTTTCTAAACTTTTGCCTAAAGTCCTACATACCTTATGACCGTCATAAACCCTTTAAAAGGGTACATGAAAGGATTTATGACTTTCCTAAACCCTTTATTAAACCCTTAAAAAGGGTTTAGGAAAATTTTACATACGGTAAAAAGGATTTATTATGCGTTACACTTCCATCAACCCTTTTTGGGTTTATTATTATACGGATTTTTTTTACGGTGTACAATCACTTGTCATCATTGGATCCAAATATTACAGAATATATCATTTTCTCTTTCATCTTTTCTTTCCTTAAGAACCTTGTCACAATTCCAGTATATCCGAGACGCTAGAAAATCTTCTAGATAAGCTGGATATGCCAAACAACTTGAAATACCCAGGACAACAGGCCTATTATTCAGCAATCATTTTCCTCTGGGAGATACCGTATCTTCGGACCGCCATCTCCAATTTCCCCGCAAAGAGCACTTTTTTTTTAGAAGATTAGGTCTAGGATACATCTGAGAAACGCGTCTCTCTAGGAAAATACGGTATCTCTCTACTATCTTCTCTAGCTGCTTCTGGGAGAAAATTCTTTTTCGATTTTTAATCCAAGATACATCCAGAAGACACAGCATATTCCTAACAGACACCGCATGCCACTTTTGAGATCACTAGCCATCCCTGGGGGGAGTTTCGATTTTGATTTTCTCTCCCAAAGATAGTCCAAGATCGGAGGGGACGGTTACTTTTGTCCAGAACTGTAGAACGAAACTAACGATACTGCTGCCTACTTTTCCACTTGATCTATTGGACGTTGAGCTACTTCTAATTTCGAAGTTTTCATTCTAGAGTCTAGTCTATTTTACGGATTTTTCAATAAAAACAAATCTGTCGAATTACGACTACATTCTGTTTGAATTTTGCAAAAAAAGTACAACCATATTGAAAAAATCAAGACTCTCCTCAATTATTGAGAAATTTGAAATGAACTTTCATTGACTGACAAAGATACAATTATTCAGATCGACTTGTCAGTGTAACCAGATTCTGCAATAATTTCTCATTTTATTCTTATATAATTTTTACGAATTGTTTCATCAGTTTATACCAGTATCTTTTTCATTCATCCAAAATAGTTCCTACTAATGTCGGGTTTTCTATAAAAAAATGTCAACGACGATGTTTTGAATAACTTTTCAACTATTCATGCTAACGAGATTCGATGTTCGCTCTTGAAAAGAACAATGTTCGAGACACTGATCTTCATAAATTTTATGAGGCTAAAGAATCTTTTGTATAGTTATTTTCATATGACTATTCTATATTTTTGTCTACTTCCATGGGTTTTTGTGACGATTTAGCACTCATTTACATCGAAATGCACTCAGTCTTCTTGTATTTCATGCAAAGTTTCCACATTTTAACATCAAAGCATAAGGAAAAATATCTGGAAAAAAAACAAAAAAAAACATTTGAAAATTGTAGGAAATACAAGAAAATTTTTGCTACATTTCAGCATAAATAGATGCTAGCTAGCCACAAACATTCATAGAAATAGACAAAAATGTAGGATAGTCATATAAAAAACAACTGTAGAAAAGTTTCTTTAACCTAATGAACTTTATACAGATCGATGTCCTCGAAATCACTCCTTTCAACAGTGAAAACGTGATCTCAATAACTTGAACTATTGAAATTTTATTTAGGAACTGAGCGTTGACATTTAAAAGAAAATCCAACTCTGGTTCAATGCACTAATTTTGCACAGATTCACTGGATTTTATCAGTATGAAATACTTCTTGGATAGATCAGAAAAATTTTCAGACTGATCGCATACAACCGATTGGTAATCGTTTTATCGATTGCAGCTGTGTAACATAGGGGACATCACTATTTTAGTTTCACGTATTCCAGAGTTAATTTGCATTTATCCTGGAAGCTATCATTTGTCTTAAATTCTATAGATCCCGAGAAGTCTACCTTTCTTGTTAGCAGCAATTTTTGACCCTACAACAGCACCAATAATAGCTCCACAGATGAATATAACCATCAAGAAGCAGATTGGAATGATAAATCTCTTCTTATGATACCAAGGCTGCCTTTTAAATATGATGAAAAGTCTCATGAAAAATATAATCAGATCTAATGCAATAGGACTTACTCAATTTTTGGAAAAATATTCGCACCTAAACATAAAAATATTTTTCAATGTAAAACAAATAATCAAAAACATTTGCAATACCTTCGAATGGTGGTTCGAGTAATACTTCTTCTGGTATTAATTGTTTCAAATGAATAATGTAAAGCTCGGGTGCTGGACTCACTTGTGATTGAACTACCATATGAGTACCAGGTAAAAGAAGAACTTCATCTTCGGTGACGAAATGTGAATGAGCATTTATTGATCGACCATTGATGACTTCAACGGAAAAGAGCGTTCGGTCACCTGAAGTGCCCAAGTACATATTGTTTTCGAGTACGGTCAGTGATGTAGTACATGATGAAAATGACCACCATGTCACTAAAGTACCAGGTGGAAATTCTGCACTTAAATTTTTAGTTACTCCTCGCCAGACAGTCAATGGTGGAAGGCATGGTAGTTTAACCAGACCAGTTATAAATAGTCTGAGATATTTGAAGTAAGGTCGAACATCTTCTTGAGTACCTGTCTTCAAAGTATAATTGAGCATTGAATAGAGACTTCGATGTGGTTTTTCCCATTCAATTGTATAGAGTCGAATAGCAGCGCTTTCGTCGATTGTTAAATTATCAGGTGGTTTTTCTGGAGTTTCTTTTAATGCCATTTCAACATACTTTGATAAATCATGAAGGATGTCGTTTAATGGAGCACATGCTTCAACTAATGGCAGCAAAGGTTCTTCGACATAGCCACAAATAGGACTTACGGATTTTTCAAAATCATTGATATCGTTTCTAATATCTGATCTTATTTCTTCTATATCAGCTTCAGCATACATAGGAATTCTTGAGCTACCATTATCAATCATCTTATTAGTATTGTTAATTGTTATTGTCTCTTGTCTTTGATCAATGTTTTCTTCTCTATTTTGTTGAGAATCATTCGTTATTTCATCATAAATCGTAATTTTTGTTTCGTCAATCAAAGTGTCATTGTGCTTTTTTTTTACTCGACGCTTCTTATTCTGATGCTTCACTTTCTTCTCCATAATTGATGAATGTTGATACTTAAAAATCAATGATTAAAAATTATATATAATCGAGAATTATTAATCATGAAAAATGTATATGAGTGACCCATTGCAACAAATCGTCATGAAACTTGCGAATATTATTATCATGTATTATACTTTTTCTTCTTGACTTAAAAGAAACAGAGCGTCTGGAAAGTACTATCCTAGTTTCAATATTTCTTTTTTTCTTGGAAAAAAAATGATCTGAAAGGAGTGTTGAAGTGTTTAAGGGTAGAAATTTGGAGCAGCTCCTTCTCCTCATCTCTTTCCCACCCCCCCCCCCCCCCCCCCCCTCCCCCACCACACACACACAGACCGTGACAGATTGACCTTATGTTCATTATAGACCATAACAGACAGGGCTTTCGATCCATCATGGCCCATGCCAGGTAGGCTGCAGGTATCGTCGTAGAATGTGGTAGAAGACTTCGAGAAACTATTAGAGAGAATGCACAACTAACATATGATTGAAGCATACATAGAGTTTTGTCCTGTTCAACCTTTACAATGTTAAGTAAGCCATGATGAAGAATCATACTCCAATATACATAAATGAAGAATAATTTTTGGAAAGATCGGGAATAGCAGATGCGTCATTTTTCACATTTTTAAGAGAAGATCCGCTAGAAAACCACGCAGAAAAAAGGCAATTGACCGAGAAAAAAATATTGATTTTGGATTTGGTATTCTGAAAAGAAAGACCTTAAAGAGTTATTACTAAATCCAAAATATTAGCGCCATGTGACAATCCCTTACTGAATTCTGAAGTACACTTCGATAAAACAGTCATAGGCTTAGATGAAAAAAAATGGTCATTTTTCGTACTTTTAATGTGGCACAGAAGCTTTCCACTATTTCAACCTGCAAAACTGTCAAGACAAAAGCCTTCAAAGAGGGTGTCTTTTATGTGTTGCCTAGTACATACCATCCCCATTATAAGGAAAGATACCTTGTAATGAACCATTGATACCTTCATTTTTCTATTTTATTTCCAACTATAGTCATATTTTCAGCATCGATATCAATCACATACACCTATACAACTGTCAAGAGAAGGAATTTCAAAGAGGTTGTCTTCTACATGTTGTCCAGTAAATACCATCCCTATTTTAGAGAAAGATACCTTGTAGTGAACCATGGGTATCTTGGTTCTTCCCTATTTCATTCACAACTCTAGCCATATGTTCAGCATCAATATTAATCACATAGAGCTACAAAACTATGAAGACAAGAGCTTTCAAAAAGGTCATCTTATATATGGTGCCTAATACATACCATCCCCAATATAGAAAAAATTACCTTATAGTGAGCCATGTGTAAGTCCATTAACCAGTATCTGAAGTAGAAGCGCATGGATTTTTCAACATAAGAAGGAATCGCTAAGATAAGTGCCTTGACATAGGCTCTCTCGTTTATGTTGGCT